AGACCCCTCTGCAAGGGGATCTCCAGTGGCCTACTAATGGGCTTTGGATCTCCACTCCGCACTCCCCCCATCATTCACTGTGGTAAGAGGTCTTATACAGTAGATTTACTCAGTACTGGCCTTCTCTTAGTCTCTTGACTGCTGCCTCCGTGTGGAGCCAGGAAAGGCCACATCCTTGACACTGTCAGCCTTTTCGCCATTTGTCATGATGTTACCTATTGGTCCAGTTGTGAGGGTTTTTGTCTTCTTTACAGTCACTTGTAATCTATACTAACGGCTGAAATCCTCGATCCTCATCAGCAGATGCTTCAGAGGTTGTCAATACGTCTTCCTCCTCTCCTGATGCTGCGTTCTTCTCCATGTCATCCAGCTTCTCTGTTGGTTTATTTGCTGAGAATACAGATTGAAGAAGTATAGTGAGAGGATACAACCTTATTGGACACCTTTCCTGATTTTAAATCATGCACTTTTCCTATGTTCCGCCTCTTGATCCATGTACAAGTTCTGCAGGAGCACAATGAAGTGTTCTGGAGTTCCCTTATCAAGTTTATCCATTGTTAATTATGATCCACAAAATCTAATGCACTGGCATAGTCAGTGAAACACACGTAAATATCTCTGTGGTGTTCTCTGCTTTTAGCAGTGATATCCCTTGTTCTGTGTCCTCTTCTGAATCTGACTGCAGCTCCCTGTCAATGTATTGCCGCAATCTTCAACAAAATTTGTTGGATAATCTTCAACAAAATTTCATTTGCATGTGAAATCAGTGATACTGTTCTATGATTTGAGCATTTAGTTGAGTTGCTTTTCTTTAGAATGCTTACAAATGAGGATCTGTTTCAAGTAGCTATCTTCCAAATTTCCTAGCATAGACCAGTGAGTGCTTTCAATGCTTTATCAGCTTGATGAAACATTTTGGTTAGTATTCAATTTCTAGAGCCTTGTTTTTGGCTAATGCTTTCAGTAGATCTTGAACTTCTTCCTTCAGCACCATTGGTTCTTGCTCATAAGCCACCTCCTGAAATGGTAGTATGTCTACTTTTTGATAGAGTGCCTCTGTGTATTCTTTCTTTCTTTTCTTAATGCTTCCTGTATCATTCGTTATTTTGCCTATAGAATCTTTAAATTTTCATCTCAAGGCTTAAATTGTTTTTTAGTTCTTTCAGTTTAAGATATGTTAAGTGTGTTCTTTGGTTTTCTATTTCTGTGCACATTTCATTATAACTCGGTTTTGTCTTCTTGAGCTGCCCTTTGATGTTTTCTATTCAGCTCTTTGAAGCCATCCTTTCCTCCGTATGCAGTAGCTACTCAACAACTAAAAGCAAGTTTCAGAGTGTCTTCTGACATCTACTTGGATCCTTTCTTGTCTTTTTAATGACCTTTTGCTTGCTTCATGAATGATGTTCTTGATGTCCGCCCACAGCTCAGCAGGTCTTCCGTCAGGAGTGTTGAATCCATCAGATCTGTGCTGAGTTCTTGAAACCCAGGTGGGATAGACTCAGGGTCTTATTTTGGCTCTCCTGGACTTGTTTTCATTGTCTTCAGCTTTAACCTGAACTTACATATGAGCAATTAATGGCCTGTTCCACCGTTAGCCCCCGGTCTGCTTTTAGCTACTGATACTGAACTTCGCCATTGTCTCTTCCCACAGATGTAGTCAATTTGATTTTTGTGTATATTATCTGGGGAGGTCCGTATGTACAGTCGACTTTTCTTTTTTTTATCATTTTATTAGGGGCTCCTACAACTCTTATCAAAATCCATAGACTTTTCTATAGTTAAAAAAAAAATGTGTATGCTGTTAACAAAATTTTGCTTTTGCAATCTCCTGCTTCATTTCTATCACCAAGACCATGTTTTCCACTACTGTACCCTTCCTCTCTTTTCCAACTTTTGCCTTCCAATCTCCAAGATTTTCAGTGCATCTTGTTTGCATATTTCATCAATTTCTGACTGAAGTAATTGGTAGAATTCTTCAATTTCTTCATCATTCGCTTTTGTGTTGGTCCATAAATTTGAATAATAATTGCATTGATTGGATTCCCTTGTAGGCAAATAGATACAATGCTATCACAGCCAGCATTATATTCCATAATTGATTTTGCGATACTCCTTTTGACAATGAATGCCGTGCTATTGTGTTATTCCTAGCATTGTAAGTCATATGATTTTCTGATTTTAAATGGCCATTGCCAATCCATTTCAGTTCACAATGCCTGAGATAATCGATCTTTATGCGGTCCTTTTCATTTTTGACAACTTCCAATTTTCTTAGATTCAGGCTTCTTGCATTTTGATCATTATCAGCGTTTGGCCATTGTTTTTCCGTACCTTGGATAGTGCCCTTTCAGAAAATGCTCTACTCTCACGGGTTTTATCCAACTCATGTGACCATGGTCGATTCCACTCTTGAGAATTCAGCTCCTCCCCAGTGACATTTTGATTCCCCTCTGACCCCAGGGTCCCATCCTACACCACAGCTTCGAAACATTGTCAGATACTGTTTTGTGGCAGGGGAGGTTGAATTAGATATTATATATTCATAATGTTTATTTACACTTAAGTTTCATATTTTTAATGGAGTCGCTTAGGATTCCTACATTTGAGATATGGTCCTTTGACCTTGTAAACTTTCCTGTATGTATTACACACAAACCTACAGTGAGGTTCAAGGTGAATAAAGTCTTTTTGTTGTTGTTAATCTGTACAGTGTGGATTGGTAAAAACTGATTTCTTTCTAAACCTTAAAGTCATAGTTTTTTGTTCCATTTTTCTGGTTTTGGCTTTATGTCTTACGCGCATTTTAATAGGCATTTGATGTTCCTCACCCTTGAGATTATCTTCAGTTGTAAAAGTGGTCCTGGCTGGAGCCATAAGAACCTTGTATTGTAAGTTCTAATATAAAGTTGATCTTTCGCATTCTAGATGCACGGTTTTATTGTTTTTCCTCTCGTTTTTCTTTGGTCCTTTCACAATTTAATACTGTCTGCCCCTCTCCCATAGTAATGGAAAAGGAAAGTACTTGCCTGATCTTATGCTTATGCAAAAATTCTCTTGAGTCTTTCTTGAGTTTTACTCTCTTACTAAGTATGAGGGGCTTCAAAAATTCATGGAAAAAACGCTATTAACTTTTCCTTACCATTTCTTTCTTAACGCTTTTTTAAAGTTCCCTTTTACATGTAGCACATAATTCAATTAGTTACCTAATATAGTTCTGATTTTTTGCTTATAGTATTATTTAGCTAGTGTCACCAATGTTTTAAATTTTATATTGCATTGTTTAACAAAAGCTACTTCGTGTCCAATGTTAACGTATCTGATGTATGAAGAAAAATGCAATTTTTCCTCTAACTTTTTGAAGCCATCTTATAGTTAATAAATTCTTTTCATGTTATTTCTCTAAAATGTTTTTATTCAATGGTGTGAAATTTCTTATTCTAACAGTTAAAAAGAATTGCGCACTCCTATGAAAGAACCATTTAATCTAATTTTGTAGGTTATTGAAGACAATGGAGTTCGAAGAGTTGTTGTGGTTCCCCAGGCACCAGAGTTCCGTCCTGGTAGTCACACAGTGTTACACCGTTCTCCACACCCTCCACTGCCTGGTTTCATTCCTGTCCCTGCCATGATGCCCCCTCCACCTCGCCATATGTACTCACCAGTAACTGGAGCTGGAGACATGGCCACACAGTATATGCCACAATACCCATCTTCACAAGTTTTTGGAGATGTAGGTAAGACATCTTAAAATAATCCTCTTTTACTGAGTTGGGTGCTCGTTGCTTATGTAGTAGGTACTGTCACCATGAGTTGGGCTAATTGTGGTGACAACTGGTTTTGTTTGTGTGTCATTATCATATAAAGGAATCAACAGTAATTATATAGCAACCAGTTTCTGCTATTCACGGTCTGTTAGGCATTTCAGCTTCCTATCCTCCCTCCCTTTAAGACATGAATAACAGAATCAAAGAAAGGAAATAATGTATAGCACTCTAAAACTTCGAACAATGAACTTTTCTTGTAGTCTAGGTTCTGTTGGACTTTTCAATCAGGAATAGTCATGTCTTTCTTTTCTTTTATTTTCCCCTTAAATTTTGTTGTAGAGTGTATATATATACATACATATATACACACACACACACATATACATATATATACATATATATATGTAGCAACAGTAAGCCAATTGATAGCTTTGCATGTATAAATTTAGTGACATTGATTATATTCTTCCAGTTGTGCGACCATTTTTACTCTCCCTTTTTCTGAGTTGTTCATTATTAACGTAAACGTAATGCCATTATGTTTGCTTTGTTGCCAATTGAACTTCATAGGTAGCTCTTAAAAGAGCATGCAGCTCAGACATTTTTTGCTAGTTTTGTTGTATGAAAACTTAGGGGATGTTTTTTGCTTAAAGCTTGAAGATTATCTCAGGTATAAGTTTCAGGATTTTGTATCCCTTTCATCTTTTATGGAATTGTTCATCTAAATGTCCAGTAATCCTAGCCGAGCACCAATTCAGTTCCTATGTTCTCATGGCAAAAGGGGCAGTTACTTACGGAGGCAACGAGCTACACATTTCATGTCTTCCTTTTGTACTTAACTCGTCTCCTGTTGATCAAAGTGAATAGAGACCAGTTGTTGAGCCTTGAATGGCTGCCTGAAAGTTTTTTTAAGACCCCACGCTCTATGCCGCAAACCAGGAGATTAAATGGCAGCATTAAACATATTTAAGGAGTCCTGGTGATACTGTGGCTTAAGCATTGGGCTGCTAACTGTATCGGCACTTCAAACCCACCAGCTACTCGATGGGAGAAAGATAAGCTTTCTGCTCCTGTAAAGATTTTCCGCCTCAGAAATCCTATGTAACGTGTCAGAATCGAGTTGGTAGCAATGGGGGTTTGTTGTTGTTAATTTCTAATAAACAGAGTGAGGCGATTTAAGTGGGATATCCCAGGACACCATAAACCTAGATCTCCAAACCAAGGCGCCGAGTCTCATAAAGCATGTGGTTTTACATGAACAGCCTCAGCAGCTGCTTACTGTTGCTTCTCGTTTGTTGTTAGAAGTATATTTATTATACCACTTGTGCCATTCCATTCTTCCCCCAGGTATAAAACTTACTTACAATAATTACAGCGATCGGTTGCGCAGCCCTACCCTTGATGTGGTTGTTCCACCACCCTTTACTCCCTTTTTCTCTGCTTCTTGACGTGGTAACCACTAATGAATGGGTAAACAAAATGTAGTCTATATATATACAAGGGGGCTGCAAAAAATTTGTGGACAATAGAATAAAATAAGAATTTTCCCACCACTTATTGAAGCCCCTTTATATTGGAATGATACTCAGCCAGTAGGAGAAACGGTCTTGATACAGGCTGCAGTGTGCTGAGGTTTGAAGGTAGTAGTATGCTGAGAACAAATATTGAATGACCTCACTTATATAAAAGCATATCAAAAAAAAAAGCGTATCTTTCTTAAACCAGTACACAAACTAGATTTTGTGTAAAAAAGAGTAAGAAATAACCTCTGACCTCCAGGAGTTAATAAATTGTTGGGAAGAACAGATTACCTCACAAATACTCAAAACAGCTATCATATTCCCCATGTCTTTAGCCCTATGTATAGACTGATATATATATGTATGTATGTATGTATACACACACAGTATGTATCAAATGTTTATCTTCAGATTTGCATCTTCAATCCTGTCTTCGGATCTGTAGACTTACATGTCTTCTTGAGGGCTCCAGGGAGCTGGCTTAAGCGTCTCGGGCATGGCATTTCTAATCATACGCCTCGGTTAAAAGCCCAGGACCTGCTTTTCTCTGTCATCTTCATCTCTGTGAACCTTCGACTTGCTCAGTGCTTGAGCCCTCCTGTCAATTGGTATCAGTGTATTGTCAAGAGTTCCCTAAATCTATCAGCTCCTGTTAGGACTGCTTCATCATTAGCTTTCCAGTTAGTTTCCTGCTTTTCTTCTATCCCTTACAATCTGCTCTCAGCCAGGCTAATCGTTTTAAAATGTGAACCGCATCTTTGTCCTTTTAAGATCTTTCAGTTCCTTCCCATTCCTCAGAGGATAAAATCTCAAGTCCTCCCCTAGACCAGGGTTGCACAGCCGAGGCACTGTTGGACATTTTGGGACACCTAATTATTTTTTCTACGCAGAAGGCACCCGTCTTCCCCTGTTGTGACAAGCAAACTGGACTCTAGGTATTACCAAATGACCCCAGGGAACAGCCAAGCCAAAGTCAAAGTCACTATCATAGAGGTCGTTTCAACGCACACAGACCCGGTAGGACACGGGAGAACTGCCCCTTTGGAGAGTTAAAATCTTTACAGGAGCAAGCAGCTTCCTCTTTCTCCATTGGCCTGGCTAAGGCATTTGAACCGCCACCCTTGGGTTTAGCAATTGCATGTGTCCCATGCACTGCCAGGGCACAGTCTAGTGGACAAACTTGGCCCAGAACGATGCCACAGACAACAGGCCCTGCAGTGCTGCTTGTGGCCTCTGACCACCTTGTCCCATTCCCATCCCCAAGTCCTCTTCACCTTCCACCTTTCCCAGACCTCCAAAAGGTCTCGTGGTGGTACAGTGTGAGCAGTTTGAAATCACTAGGCTCTGTGCAGGCGAATGGGGCCTGTCTACTCCCGTAAGATTTACAGTCTCAGAACCCCCACAGGGCCTACTCTGTCCTGGAGGGTAACAGAGTCAGAACTGACCTGAAGACACTGGGCTGTGTTGTGTTGTGTTTTGTTTTCTATTTCTTTGGAAGCTCTTTCTTGCCTCAGTACTTGAGCATGTATTCTTTGCCTGGAATGTTCTTCCCCCTTTTACTTCAGCTTTCATAGAGACCTGTCTTAAACCTAGTGATATCAATCTCAAGGATAATTTGATTTTGGGGGTGCATTTTTCTCCTTTATTTGACTCAAAACGTCATAGGAACAGAATCTATTTTATTTGTAATTGTTTCCCCTCCGCCGGCTGCACAGTGTTGCTCGCATATCCTGCTTAGTGGATTTGTAGAGTAGTTAACTGTAAATACAAAATTCATATTAATCAACAGCATGTAAGTAGTGGGATTCACACATATTTTTCTAGTTTATTTCTCTTGTGTTTAAAATACATCTCTATTTAACATTTTAAAATAGAATAAAGCAAAACATTTACTAGTAACGTTTTTTGTTTTTGTTACAGACTTCTATTTTTTTCTCAAAGACGGTTATAAATAACATTGTTAACTTTAACTTTTTCAAGTAGATAAAAGTATTTTTAGTGCCCTACTATCAGAACAGAGAGCTAACATTTCACCCCCAAAGAACCTGGGTTCAAATTAAAGTCAGAGCTAAAAAAGATCTTGTACTTTTCACAAAAATTGGTCTTAGCTAGACCTTTAATTCTCCCTGGGTGTCACAAATGGCTAATGCGCTCAGCTGCTACTCGAAGCTTGGAAGGTTGCAATTTAACCTCCAAAAACTCTGCCATTGAAAGCCTTAAGGAGCCCAGTACTCTTCTGAGGCCGCATAGTACTGATGCTTCTGAAATGTTTATCTCATACAGATCACCTGGGGATGTTGTTCAAATGTAGATTTGTTTGGTAGATCAGAATTGGGCTTGAAACTTTTTGTTTCTAATAAGCTCCAAGGTGATGCTCATGTGCGGGTCTAAGGCTCGAGTTGTCTTTTGAATAGTAAGATTGTGTACTAAAAACCAATCAGATTCTGTCCTTTTTATTGTTTTCACTGCTAGTTATAAGGAAGAAAATATATGCAAGAGTATTACAGTTTTACATTGTTAAAATGCACTATTATCCAGAGCACAGAACACCTGGATATAATTCGCCAGAAAGGAACATGAGGGGTGAAAATCTATCAATTAGCTACCCAGTAATGGAAAACAAAGTCATTGTGCCAGAGGTTATAAACCAGGGATCTCAAATTAATAAACTGACTTTTCAACTCACAGAGCTCAAAAAAGAAAAGCAAAAACATGCCCAGCACTTGCACAAAAGTTTCAAGTTCTCGAGTCCAAGTTGACATAAGAACCATTGAGTAGTGTATATGTGCATTTATACTCATGTTTCCTTTTAAGAGGAGCTGTGGTGGCAATGTGAGTTAAGCAATGGGCTGCTAACCTTGAGGTCAACGATTCAAGCCCACTAGCCGCTCCACAGGAGAACAACGAGCAGTGTGTTTCCATAGTTTCACAGTCTCTGACACCATGGGACAGTTTTGCTCTGCCCTGTGGAGGTGCTGATGAGTCGGGAGTCAGCTTAACGGCAGCAGGATTTTCTAATCCTGGTAAGCTTTGTCTCTTCTGCAGAGTGACTGGTAGGTTAAGAACTGCCTTTTGGTCCTTAGCCAAGCCCTTGAATCAGGCCTCCTCAAGGGTTTTTATAGTGGCTCTAGTTCTTACATTTAGGGTTTGGTCTACTCTTAAGTTATTTTTTTACGTAGTATACAGTGAGGTCCTAATTTTTTCTTTTTCACATAGATATCTGAGTTCCTATCTTTGTTACTGTATGGTGTTTTATATATAGTTATTTATACGAGTCTCCATAAGGCACTGATTAATTAAGACCTCTGTCTCCTGAGAACTTCAGGGCTTTAAAAATATTTTTTCTATTATCAATATTAAATTTAAAATAAAAATTAATTAGGGGACGAGTGACCTATCATATTTACGTGATTTTCATTTGAGGAATCTTCTCATCTGCAGCTTTGAGTTTTTATCCAAGATGCAGCTCTTTGTGTTTATTATGGCTGCACAAGAGTAAAGAAAACAGTCCAGTCAACCCAGATACTGTCACCTGCAGTGACCGTAGCATACTTACTGCCAGGCTTCTCCTGGAGATTAGGAAAAGATGGGCTTAAAGTCTCAAGAGTCATGTGGTGTGTACACAACCATAAGCAAGAGCAAAGCTTGGTCTATCCGTTCTTTTATATAGTATAATAAGACATTTACTTTCTTCTCTTTCCAGATGCTCACTCTGCACATGGAAGGTCTAACTTTAGAGACGAAAGATCTAGTAAAACATATGAACGTTTGCAAAAAAAATTGAAGGATCGCCAAGGAACACAGAAAGATAAAATGAGCAGTCCTCCGTCATCACCCCGGAAATGCCCTTCTCCCACAGATGAACATAATGGACTTTTGAAAGGACAGAGTGCTGGTGGCACGAATGGTGGGTCAGCAAAGAGCAAATCAGGGAAAGGGAAAGGTGCCGTACAAGTTGATGCAGAAGTAGAAGGTAAGTAGTTAAATGCAAGGTTACTTTTTTACATTTGGGGAGCCTCAATTAGTAATATTACATGTCTCGTAACTTCTACTGAGTAAATGTCCCTCGTGGAGCTACCAGGTAAGTACTGGGCTGATAACCAAATGTTAGTGGTTCAAATCTGCCAGCCCCTCTTCAGAACGAAGGTGAGGTTATCTGCTCTCATAAAGATTTATAAAGGCTCAGGAAACCCCATGTGGGATCGCTGTGCATCAGAATAAGCTCGGTGACAGTGGGTTTGTGCTAGGGGTTTCAACTCACCAGTTGGTCCACAAATGAAAGATAAGTTCTGCCTGCATAAAGATTTACAGCCTCAGAAACTCAACAGAGCTCACCTGTTCTGTTGTATAGCTTTGCTAGTGAGTCAGAGTCAGCGTGATGACAGGGTTTGGTTTTGCTGGGTTTTCTATTTGTATTTGTTTAACTTGGAAGGGTTTAACTTTAAAAACTGTCAAGTTTACTTTTGATTTGAGATTCTATATTATCTTATAACCAGTTCAGCAAATTCAGTAAATACTAAATTGCAGTGATGTTAGGAAGTGATCTTTTATTTTTGTAAATAGACTTTTCCTATAGCCATTTTGAAAATTTCACTAGAAATAATCAGCTTACATAGACCAATAACCACAACTTTTTCTCTGTCCAAGAATATATTTATATAAGTTAGTAGATATAATTTTTTTAATTAAAAGATCATTTTATTGGGGGCTCTTACAACTCTTATAATAATCCATACATCAATTGTATCAAGCATATTTGTACATATCTTGGCATCGTTCTTTTCTAGACATTTACTTTCTATTGAGCCCTTGGTATCAGCTCCTCTTCCCCCACCACTCCTGTTCCCCCCCCCACCCTCGTGACCCCTTGATAAATTATAAATTATTTTTATTTTCATGCCTTCCGCCGACCACTGTCTCCCTTCCCCCACGGTTTCTGTTGTCCGTGCCCCCTGGAGGGGTGGGGGTGGTTATGTTTCAATGATTGCAGTTGTTCTCTCGCCTTCCCCTCCTCTCCCCACCTCCCCCACCCTTCTGGTATCGCTAGTCCCATTCCTGCTCCTGGACTCCGTGTGTCCTGAGCTCCTATCTCTTCTCTACCTGTGCACATGCTCCCCTCCAGCCCGCAGTGAAAAGCAGCACTGGCGTCTAGTATTTGTAATTCTTATTTCTGTGACGGGGAGCTAAGAATTCTTACATGTTTTGAGGAAAATATCAAAATTGTCAGCTGTTTGAAATCTTATCTTCCATTCTCTTAAAATTTCTTTTCCTTGATAATAAATTTTAAATAATGTTTTAGCAGTCTAATTGCTTGTATAATAGCATCATTTATAAAATTATATTTCCATAGTTTTAAGACTTTTTGATTATTCTTCTCAGCATTAATGTTTCAGAAGAATTATGCTAAAATTTTAGGTATGGTATACTTAAAACCCCAACCAGAGCCACTGCCGTTGAGTTGATTCCAATTCATAGTGACTCTACATAGAGTTTTGAGGCTTTGTAAATCTTTGTGGAAGTAGACAGCCTCATCTTTCTCCCTCCTCATGGCTGGTGGATTTGAGCCACTGACATTGTTGTTAGCAGTGTTGTTAGCAGTGTTTAAGGGTCACCTGAGCCATAAATTATCGGTAAAGTCAAGTTTGCTATTTGGGGAACTTAAAATTAAGACAGGTTATGAAACAAATACTCATTTGACTTAATCATTAAAAGATCTGATTAAGATTGGCAAACGTGGACTTTCCCAATGTGTTATTTTTAACATATCTATGAATAAAAATACTTTTCTCTAAAATTAAATAAGGATTATTAATTTACTGCCTGATTCAAATATATATAGTGGTATTGTAATTAGTAAATGTTGGTTAAAAGAATGCCGAAGGGCCACAAACTGCTAAGGATGTGTGAATTTAAAAAACAAAGGCTAGAAAACAAATCTCAAACACCAGGCCAATTTAAGAAGGGTGGAGTTAGGATTATATCTATGTCCTTTTTTAAAAAAATTTTTTCTTTCTCAAAAGAAAAAGATGAAGAAACTAAAGCATTTGAAGCACTTCTTTCCAACATTGTCAAACCAGTGGTAAGTATCGTGTATTTTCTTGATGTTTATATTTAGTATAGTCATAGAGAATTTTGGTAGATTTTTATCCAACTTTTGCTTAAAACATAATTTTATATTGAGAATGGAAGGTCAAAATCAGATCAGCATGAATCTAACATAAGATGAGATAATATTGCTCAGGAAAGCAGGATATTCAGTCAAACATCCATTTTTAAAATAAGTATTTATTGTTGCAGTAAATGACCTTGCAAACAGCTGATAAATAATATGGGTACAATGATCAGATTTATAACATCCGTTTATATTATTTCCTCATAAAATGTGTCCAGTTGGTCCTTGATGTAAAGAATTCAGTTAAGTCTGGATGTAGGCAAGGAGACATCTGACTGGTGGTAGTGGTGCTCCTTATCAGTCAGGGCCGAGCCATCCCGCAGTCCTTTGTGCATCCTGACCGGATGCCTGGATTGTGGCCTGACCTGTTTTCTGCTGCCTCGGAAGACCCCGCACGTTTTAAAAAGCTCTTGTAAGTATGTTGCCAATGTCTTAAATGTCCTCTTGTTCTGTGAGGAATTTTTATTCATCTCAGTGAAGTATAGCATCTTCCCAATCACAGCACTTTAAAGGGAGGCATATGTCCATAGAGGAAACTTGATAAGCAATAGAAATGGTTTCATGTGGTTTTCAACTAGTTGAAACAATTACTAATCCTATTTATTTTTTCAAAAATGAGGTAATTTACATCAAAATGGTAAACTAGAAGAAAATTCCTATTTCCCAACTTTTTATAAGCAAAGATGCCTTAAAAAAAAAATCAGAAATTTAGTATGGCAAGAATTAGATAACATTAAAATGTCTGTATGTTCTTAAAATAACTTTAATAAAGATAATGATCCTGTCTTTAAAAATTACATCCAATAGGACAAAAAATATATTATTAAGAGCTTATACAAATTGAAATTTTAAACACATTAAGACCCTAAAGAATTCTTCACCAGTAATTAAAAGAAATATAAATTAAACTTCTAGCATGCTGAAACTCTGAGGCTTCATTTATCAATACAAAACTCAATACCGGCAGGAAATGTTTTAGTATTAGTAGTAACAAAAGGTAAATTCCCAACTATAGGGATATGTGGATACACAGCTCAACAACAATTTTATTTTAACTTGGTGTCTTAATTTTTAGACCTGTTCAGACCTGGGGTTATTTGGTATCCTGATTCAGAAAATTGCACTGGGTCAACCAGATCAGCTCTAGTTTCTTAGATATGGTTGGATTTATAAAATTTCAGCCTGCTCTTTAAAAGCTCTCCCCTGCAGAATTGGGACGTCATGGCAAGCTCTCTTACCCCAATGGGAAATGTATGTATTTTGAATTTCCCAAGTTTTTGGTGTATAAATGACCTTTGTTTCACAACTAATCATCTACTCACCTTCTATAATGCACACTGTCCCACACTCCAATTCTGTACCTATGCCACCTTCCTGTGCTATCACACAAGGTGAAAAACATGGGAGCAGTGAGTCGTCTCCAAATAGCTTCTCCTAGTGAACGCGTTGACCAGAATGGAGTGAGTGATCTGATCAGGGACTTCAGTCTTGGCAAGGAGTCTTCTGAACTGCGTACATCCACACTAAAGGAAAAGAATGTACTTCAGCCTGAAACAAAAGTTACGTTTTATGGAAGAAAAGGATTGCTGACATTCTTTACTATGCACAGCAACTTCATATTCTGCCATGATATCAGAAACTTTCTGAAGAAATTGGTTTGTCAAAATATAGTCCAAGTGAGTGTCATCTTTTCGTCAACAGTTCAAAACATAATTTGAAATGTGTTCTTTTAAATAACGGTAATAAATATGGTTCTCCACTGGGATTAAAGAAGAGTACAGACCATCTCTTTTGTTAATTTTCTTGTTGGTCAACAAAGTAGCTACACAAAGTATCCTTGCTTCTTATGTTTTGGGGGTAGTAGAGCCAAGCATCAACATTGGACAAGAAAATAATGACCTCTGAGGGAATATGTGGTATTTGGAGAACAAAATGGAATCAATAAACCTTTGGTAGCACAAGATAGAATTATACTGCCACCACTACACATACAGGTTAGGTCTGATAAATAAATTTTGTATAGGTTTTGATAAAGACGGTTGTGCATTGAATACATCGTGCATAAGTTACTTGGACTTACCGTGCAAAAACTGAAGGCAGGAATTTTTGATGGCCCGCAAATCAGACAACTTATTAATTACCCATATTTCACAGCATCAGTGAATGAAATCAGATCATGTGCCCAGTCTTTATCTGTTCTTCCTGTGAAAAATTCTCTTGGCAACCAAGAAGCAGGGAACTACACACAATTAGTAGAGGATTTGCTTATTCATTTCGGCAAGCTTGGCTGTCACGTGAATGGCAAAGCCCATTATGTGCACAGTGAGATTGCTTTCCAGAGAACCGTGGTGACTTACGTGAAGAGCCGGGTGAAAGCGTTCACCAAGACGTGAAACCAAAGGAAGCCAAATACCAAAGAAGATGCACCCGTGATGGCAGAGTGTGAGCCGACGCCTCCACGGCTTGTCCTGACGGATCCCACTTTCAGAAGGCTTAGGGCAGGAGCCGCTCATGTGTCGCATGTCTGGATAGTTTGTGTCAGAACTCTGTGCTGTTAGTATGAAATCAGTAGATTTCACGTAGTACATTTTTCTTCTCATTTTTGTCACTTTCATGCTTAAAAAACAAGAATGTAAGCACTACAGTAAAATACCCTGAGTTTTTTTTTACTGGGAGAGCAGAGTGAAGGAGTGGTCTGTGGCATATCTTCTGTATCTCAAAACTAGAACTGGTAAGGGGAAACGTACCATTTTTTAAATCAGCAGGTGAGGTAAATCCAGAAACAGGTCTAAAATTTAAAGCACCAAAACGCGTGTTGGCCAGTTTATTATAATTACAGTATTTTTATGAGTGAAATGGTGGTATGGTACAGCTATTAAAATTATATCTAGAGGGAGAAAATGCAGAAATATACATCAAAGATAAAAGATGTTAGGAAAACAGAAAGAAATAGAAGGAAAGGCACCACAATATCACAGTAATCATTCCAATTAGTCTTTTTGTTTTTAATCCTCTTTTTTTGAAAAAGTATCACATTCCTCCATTTTGAAAGCAGGCTAACAGGTGATGGTATTTAAAATTTGATTTTGAATATCTTTATAATTAATGTGAACTATTACAGTGAACGGTTTACATAAATATGTAGAGTAAAATTTTAAATCCTTTACCCACTCCTCCAGCTTAATGACTGAACAATTAGAGTTCCTGTTTCAGTTGATTGTGTCTGTGTGCGTGTATGTATATACCAGCTATGTATAATTTTTCTGTCATCATTTTATAAAAATGGGGTCATACCGTACTCTGCTCTTCTATGATTTTTTTCCCACTGTTCTTTAGCCATCTTTTGTCATTACATTATTTGGAGATTCATTTCACTCAAATTCAGACCATCAGATAGTATTTATTGAGCTCTTCCAAACTCCCTTGCTGACTCACAGAGACCCTATAGACAAAGTAGAATTACTCTCTTGAGTTTCCAAGGCTCTAAATCTTTACATGAGTGGACATCTCATTTTTTTCCTCAAAGCAGCTGGTGGGTGCACGTCACCGACCTTGTTAGCGACTCACTGTGTAGCCCCTCCCCCCCATAAAAACCCACAAACCCACACACCATCACCACCAACAGAGCTCCATTGAGCTATTGGTATATGCCAGCTAATGAAAACAGTGATTGTACAGTGAGCTATTTGATGGGATTCTTGTAGCCATCGTTTCTGTAACTTCCCCCAAATGACTTTTCCATTGTGGGTGTGAGTAAAAGAAGGTGGGGGGAAATACTGGTAGGATAATATAATTCCATTGTGAGTGTTTGTTAACGGGGTTGATTTTGATTGTAAAAATTTGGAACTTTGATGTGGGATTGTGTACTTTTGCCATCCCGCGAAGTGTAAATTGAGCCATCTCAGAAGCAGAAATTAGGAAAGAAGAGCCCGGAATTGAGTATGTCTTTTAGATCCTGAGAACCTTAGATAGTGAACCTCTTTGATCAGGGACAGAAGGCACAGAGGAGCTGCCGCAGCAGAACCAAGAGCCCAGAGTATGAGACACAGCAGTGGGTGTCCAGTAAAGTGGAGTGCCTTTGGGCAGAGTGGGGACCTCCAGGCGCTTAATCGGAAAGCTAGATTTGCTGATCCATAGCGCTAGAGCTGAGTGACCTTGTGCAGCAGTATGTGGCAAGAAAGGCCTTTGACATTTAGCAGCAGCACTTAAGAGCATTATAACATAAGCTGAGCAAAACAGACGCCAAAGGGCTGTGTGGCTAAGAGGTGCCTGTGGGCATAAATGGAAAAATGTTTTCCTGACTGAAAGAATTCTGTCCCGAGCATTTCTCATCCTGAATTGTAACCTGTTCGCTGCTCTGATAAATAAATCTCCCATAATAATTCATGATTATGGTCTCATCTGGGACTCCTCTACAGTCACTGCAGTCAGTCGTTAAACCCAGCAGAGATGTCGGGAGAGTTTCATGGGAAGGACGGTTGGTATCAGATTTGGTAAAGGGGTAGAGGCATATTGACCTCTGCCGCCTAGAAATTGGTGTTTGATTAATTGATTGATTAATTAAACACTGATGTGTTTGATTAACCTTCTTATGAAGTTAAAGGAGACTAAGCCCTGCCTCCATGTCATTATTACCTAAATATGCAAATAAACACGTGTGATGGTAATGAAGGTTTCTCTTAAGAAATAGCATGAGGTTTGGGTTGTTGTTGTTTTTTTTTGCTGCACCAGTTGCGAGAATGAAGGCCATTCCCAGCATCCAGACTGTCAGCATTCCACAGAAGGTTAACATTTCCCTGAAGGGGCACACAGTTAATTAGGAAGGGCCTAGGCAGGTGTCCTCAAACGACAGCCCGCAGGCCACATGCGGCCCGCCGAGTGTTTTTCCTGTTTGTTTTTTTACTTCAAAATAAGATCTGTGCAGTGTGCTTAGGAATTTGTTCATAGTTTTTTTTTAAAAAAACTATAGTCCGGCCCTCCAACGGGTCTGAGGGACAGTGAAGAAATAACTGGCCCCCTGTTTAAAAAGTTTGAGGACCCCTGGCCTAGAGGAGCCCTACAGAAGGACTTCAGTCACATCAGTGTGGAACTCATCTCCTTGGAAAGAAAAACAAGAGGCTTCATGTTGGCAAATGTTGGGGAAATAGAAAGAAACTGGCTGTCGGTAGTCGGTGCCATCTGCATAGGACACGACCGAGGATGTTGCACTGGGCTTCCCGCACAAGCAGAGGTCTGTGTTTGCTCACTCTTGTGTCAAAATTGTTATTCAGGAGAATGGATCTCTTGTGGAAATCTAACTTCTTAGGTAAAAATTACATCTGAAAAGTTCAGATAAGGACAGGTGTTGCCCAGAAAGATGGGTTAATTCTTGAAGGAAACCACATTGGACTTATATCAAATCCAGGTGCTTTAATTCGGCAAACCACAACAGTTAAAAACAAGGATGTCTGAAAAAGTTTGGATGGTCTCTGTGTTTCTGAAAAAGGAACAGTTCAACAGGCTGCTGAGTAATCTTTGAGCGGTGCACAGGCTCGATGATTCCTTAGACATGTCTGTGATGCTTTGATGCAATAAAATTTATCTTTAAAAAAACAAAGAGAGGAAGCATGATAAGTTACTGAGGGAGAGTTATGTTAAGTTGAGGGCTCAAGAAAGCCCTCTATGCAGACACTTGAAGAGTAAAAAATTAAATTAGTTGGAAGGAACAGGAGGAGGGCAGAAAGGATACAACTAGTATTACTAGAGTGTAGTGTAAGATTGGTAGAAGACGTGTTTGAGCCATAGGGATTTTTAGCTAGGGTCAATCCATTTATTAACACTTATAGAAATGCCTCTTGGTTCACAAAACCGAAATTCAGCTCCTCCCCATGCCCCTCCCCCACCCCCAAAAAAAAGCCATGGGGAATATTTTGTGTTAAGTTGACCAATTGAACATTTGTTCTTTTTGTTTTTAATATGAAAACAGATTGGAGAAGTGAACACCCGCTCCATAAAGGCACTTACTCTTTCATTTTACCTCATTTAATAGTCTCATTCTTATTTAGCATTGTCAAGACAAAAGCAAGAACACCTTTATTTCAGAAATGCTTACAATTATGTATGACTTGCCTTTTACTCATTATCTCTTACTTTTAGAATCGTTTTCCCTTCCCTTTTTATGGTTTTTAGAGCTTTATCTGAGAGTCGTGGGGGGGGGGGGGGGGGGGGGGGGGGCAGGGGAAGACCACCACACCACCACTTCCTAAATCTTCAAGTAAGCAGCAAGAAAGAATTTTCATTTCTTCTTCCTTAATATTTCTGTAAATCCAGAAATAATTGAGATGTGCATCCTACCAGAAGGGACTCGGGGTTAACTCTGACAGGAAGCCCACTTCTCTGTCTCCTGCTCTGGCTCTCGGATCTGCTGGCTGCAGCTCTCCTCATCGCTCACTTCTGCATCTTTGTCAAAATCCATACCACGTGTATGGTTTGAACTCTAAGTAACTTTTTAGCTAGATATAATTTAATTACTAGAGAGCTGTTCTACAAGGGTGCACGATCATTACCTGTTAATCTAAAATACCATATGTAGTAAGTCTATTACTAATTGTTCTTTGTCAGTCTTCATACATATTTGTACACAGTCATATCTATTTTCAGCCCCTACCTAAAAGTGAGCTCAGTCTAAGGAAAGTATCTGGGGAAAGAACTGGATTCAGTGCTGCTTACTAATTGAGTGAGCTCAGCCAAACCTTTTACCCTCTCTCAAAATAAAGATAGTTATACTTATTTTGGCCACTTTAATGGATGTCTGTTTTAAAAAATGTCCTTCTGTGTTTTTGTGGGTTTTTTTTAATCTCTTCGGTTTTTATTCAGCAGTTTTATTGGCATATAATTCGCATATGTAATTCAGTACTTCAGTCACCAAGGCACACCAAGGAAGAGTTGTATACTTAGCACCACAGTCAGTTTGACTGTATGCTCTGCATTTTGTATGCATCGTTATTAGCTCCCCATTTCCCACCCAAACTTCCCCGCCGTACCCACAAGGAACCATTAATCCATTTTTCCTGTTTCCTTTTGGTGTTTCCGTCCCTGGGATGGCTGCTCATCCAGATTTCCTTGGGTTACACACCAAAATAATTTTATATCATACTAGATTTATTTCTCCCTTACCTTCACTTCTCCCTGTGCCACATTGAATTCTGTGCTTCTCCGTTTTCTCGCTGTAAATTCTTAAGAGCCATTCCTCTCATCCCCATCTATTCAGAGTGGCATAAAAACCTCAGTCTTCACACAGAAATTTCACAGTAGCAAGGTGGGAGCCCATCTTTCTTCTAGATAGATAGATAGCCCTGCTTACTCGGTCTCAAAAAGTAGCTCTCCAGCATTGGTTCCGGCTGCACTATATTTGATCTGCTTACCTCCCTGTAGTATTTAACGCTTGATCACTTGTGTCAAAACTCCATAACCCTTGTCTTTGGAGATGTGACTCTTCTTCCTTCTCTCATTCTTTTAATGAGCCCTGGTGGCAAAAAAAAAAAAAAAAAACACAAAAGAACGAGCCTTTGGGAAATCATTGGCATGCTAATTTTGAGGTTGTTAGTTCAAACTCAGCAGCCGTTCTGCAGGACAAAAGTAAGATGATCTGCTCTCAAAGATTCAGAGCCTCCGATTTGGACTTAGTCACTATGAATTGGAATTTGGTTCAAGTGTAGTGGGTTGGGTTTGGTTTATTGGTATGATTCTTTTTGTGGTACTCTCCCCCCTCTCCCCCCCTTACACGATGGCTTCACAGGGCAGAAAGAACTATGGAACTTTTTAAAAGATGCGTATACACATGTCTTGCACAATCAGTGTGCCAGTCAGTATAAGCTTAGGAAAAGAAATTACTCATCTTGATAATTTATCTCTTTTCTACCAAATTGAACCCTAACTAACCCCCAGGTATTTTTTCTTATTAAGCATTATTAAAATATGCTCTTAAAACAGAAATGCCTAATTTATAAAACTCTTGATCTTTCACAGTTCTCCTTGCATCCCAACCAAGACACACACACACACACACACACACCTCTAACAGTAGCGATTCACATATGAAATAGTATATTTTCAAACATTTCTGAGTATTTTAATTTGAACACAACTGAAGTTGTGCATTTTTAATGCTATGCTGCTTTATTGACATAATTCACATACCAACAATTCTGTGGTTTAAATATATTAAAAAGAATTGTGCAATCATCACCACTACCAATTTTAGAACGTTTTCTTCATGCTTTTACACATTATTGTTTGCTTCCTATTACTTCACACCTCCCCTGTTATAACCATGGGAAACCCTTAATCTAGTTATTGTCTGTAGATTTACCTCTCCTGGATTCCAGCTAAAGAAAAATCATTTTAAAATCTCCAATGACAAAAATGAAACACAGAAAAACTTGAGTCCCAGGGCAGCTGCTTTCCTCTTTTAACGATTACAAAGCACCCATATGTTGAAGACGTGTTCAAATGTCATTGCCGACGTTACTTCCATCAGTCATGCTTTTTTGATTGCTGTATTGTCATTGAACTGTGTTGATTCTTCGCCATTGTTAGGTGCCCAGTTTCTAGAAGGTTTGTGGCGTTTTTTGTTTTTGCCATTATTTAGCATTGTTGCGATGAACATTCTAAAATGAGTATCTTCATCCGCTTTTGCAAGTTTATCTATAGGATATTAACCTAAAGGAAAAATTCTTGAAAGTGGACCTGCTCAGTCAAAGAGCAAACGCATTTCAAATTTCTGTAATAGTCCCCAGGTTTTTCCGTGTAAGGATTGTGCCAGTATATATTCCCATCCACATAAGGGAGGGTCTATCTCTCCAAACTTAACACACTGGATATTAGCTTTTTAATCTTCCTAAATTTGGATTGGAAATGCTTTATTAAATTACATATTTAGTTTTCAATATAGTGACACATCACCTTGTTTCCTTTCGCATTTATGTTTCTTGGACTGTCCTTTGCTCATTTTACTCAAGGGGTTTTTTTGTCTTTTTTTTATTGTAAGACACTTATCAAATGAAGAAATTGACACTTTCAGAGATATTGCAATTATGTTTTTTCTTCTCGATTGTCTTTTGACTGTTCTTGATGTTTGCTCTAATGACGGTGAATGGCCTCAAAATGGTCTTGACATTTTTGTTAAGCCCGTCAGATTATTTCCTGTCCACAAATGGACAGGTTCTATGTGTGAGCCATTGTACAGCAGTGTATGCAGGTGTATGTTATTTAAACTAGAATTCTCATTAGACATTTCACTACTCGTTGTGCACTTTACAGTTGTTTCAAAACGTTTAAATATAATGTTTTTTGCAGGCTTCAGACATCCAGGCAAGAACAGTAGTCCTTACCTGGTCACCACCTCCCAGCTTCATTAACGGCGAAACAGATGAGACTACTATTGAACCAGAGCTCTTTGGTTATGAAATTCTGGTTTCAAGTACTGGAAAAGATGGGAAATATAAAAGTGTTTATGTGTGGGTATTTATTATATTTTGCCTCCTCCCGCTATATAAGCTGGTGGCTTATTATAAAGGGCCTACTGCTGATTTTGTTGTATTTTCACTTCTCTCGTGCTTTTATCTTTTAATCTCTTAAGTTGGCCAGAAATAGTGATTTTAATGTATACAGTACAGACGCAGCCTAGTGTACATATTTAATGACATAGACTTGGAACAGTCACTTTCAATGGCCACATACTACTTTTGACAATTCATTTGGCTCCCCAGTAGTGCTGACATATTCTCCGGTTAGAGATATAAATTGTGACATACTGAATTTTAGAGAAGTAGAGAGCTGCATATGTGATGAGTTTATTAATTATATTGTTCCTGTAAGGACTTGAATTGTGTAGTTCATGTCCTGTTATAAATGAATTTAGTGCCAGTGTTCTTGTTTTGTTTGATATATTAATAATTATATTTTAAAAACCTGTTGTGATTATTTATACATAGATTAATATCAAACAACCTTAAGAATAATAGCTAAAATTACGGTAGGTGATCTATGATTAATAGTTAAACATTTGTTATATATATAGGAGTTACTTACTCTTATCGAAAGATAAAAGTAGAAAAAGGTGATTGGTAGATAAAATTGTAGCACCAGGAAAATTGTAAAGGAGGTGTTCATCTGGATACATCAGCCTTCCTGGTATCTCTGGGGGCTTTTTGTTTGTTTTTTATATCTGTCCTGGGAAAGAAAGGACAGTGAAACTGCTTTGGTAACTGTTATCTAGGAATAAGGTTATATAAATTTCCTGCTTCCTTCTCTATTGAAATTACATTGTCTTTGTTATTTTATTTTACTTTTTAAGAGACAAACCTACCTTAGGGTAAATATGAGATAAAGTAACATAAATAGGTTTCTTTTCTGTGTTAATGTCTATTTCTACTTATATGTGATTTCACATTAGCCATGTGAAAGGTAAATTTTTATATAATTTAAAACATAACCATTTCTTCAGTAAGCTAAAAATTTTCCCCAAACGTATTCCTTAACTATATAAGCTGGTGGCTTATTTAGTTTTTTAAAAGGAAAGATCTGTCGCTCAGTTGCTTTGCTTAGCGTCTCTTTTGGTTTAGCATGGTATGTACTTAAAGAGCCCTGGTGGTGGCGTAATTGTTAGTAGTAGAGCTGCGATCTGCAAGGTCAGCAGTTCGAACCACTAAATGCTCCTCGGGGAAAAAGACTAAGCTTTCTACTCTTGCAAAGAGTTGAAATCTTGAAAACCCACAGGGGCAGTTTTACCCTGTCCTTACAGGATCACCATGTGTTGGAATCAACTTGATGGCAGTGAGTTGAATACTAATTTGTACTAATTGCACAAATTCCATATTAGTGGAATCTGAATAAGGTGAAAGTAAAGAGCAGTATAATTTCACAAAATTTCACAAACTGATCATGAACACAGCATGCATTCTCTAGAAATTTTTTATTTATCAATCAATTATTCTACTTTTTCCTTTCCCAGTGGAGAAGAAACAAGTATCACCGTAAATGATCTCAAACCAGCTACAGATTACTATGCAAAGTAAGGAAATCCTCCATGTTGCTTTAAATGGCATAGAATATAATTTTTTATTGATTTCTTGAAAAATGTCAGTTTCCTAAAAAGTTTTAATTTTCTTTTTTTTTTAAATCTTTTTGTTGAGGGCTCATACAGCTCTTATCACAATCCATGCATACATACATTGTATCAAGCACATTTGTACATATGTTACCATCATTTTCAAAACATTTTCTTTCTACTTGAGCCTTTGGTATCAGCTCCTCTTTTTTTTTCCTCCCTCCCCCACGATCCCTTGATAATTTATAAATTATTATTATTTTTCTGTGTCTTGCACTGTCCAATGTCTCCCTTTACCCCCTTATCTGTTGTCCATCCCTCTGGGAGGGAGTTATAGGTAAGTCATTGTGATCAGTTCCCCCTCTCCCCCCACCTTCCCCTTACCCTGATATGGCTACTCTCAGTGTTGGTCCCGAAGAGTTTATCTGTGCTGGATTCTGTGTTTCCAGCTCTTATCTGTACCCATGTACATGCTCTGGTCTAGCCGGATTGTAAGATAGAATTGGGGTCATGATAGTGGAGGGAGGAAGCATTAAAGAACTACAGGAAAGTTGTATGTTTCATCGGTGCTGTACTACACCAAAAGGTTTAGTTTTCTATTGACAGGGAGTGTATAGACATTAATTTTTGTATTGGTATAATTTTAGCAACATGTTTCTTTAAAAATCAAAACAAAAAAAGCTAATACAAATTTTACAATGAAAGGTTAATCACTTTGTAGGATTTAGAATTTGGCATGAATCTATGTGATGTTTCCATACCTAATTTAGCACTGAGGGTCTTAAGATTTTTTTGCGCAAAGAGGGATCATAAATAATACTCAGTTTATATTATGAATTTTTACAGCCTGTTTTAGAAAAACAGTTTAGGACATTAAAATGCTCCAGATTTTGAATTTTAATTGGAGTAACGTAAATACTGTTTCACTCTGTGCAGTTACTCACCTAATCTAATTTACTGACATTTCAATTTCCAGGGTGGCCTCAGCTGGGCCCCAACGTAGTACATTTTGTTCACCATTTCTAAAAGGAGTATTCGAGGTTCAGATTACCTATATTAAACTATTTAACAATTTCAAGTATACTTTCTATTGATGACTCAGTATTGTCCAACCTACTGTTTTTCAAAAGTGAATCATGAAACTAATACTGGAATTTTAGTATTTTTTAGGAAATGAAATGGTATGAAATAGACGAGAAAACATCTGTTTATTGCATACCTGGTGGCACTGTTGGGTGGGCGTTGGACTCCTAGCCAAAAAGATCAGCAGTTCAAACCCACTAGCCACTTCAAGGGCGACAGAGAAGATTAGCTGCTCCCGTAAAGATTTACAGCTTTAGAAACCCTAGACAGGGTCACTGCGTCGGAATCTACTCAGAGAGTGGGGGCCAAGAGTTTTGTGTGAGAAAGCTTCTGCTTTGTACATGTAGTGCACATAGACACAATTCAAATGTCTTGGAGTACATTAAAAAGGGGGGGGGGGGGGTTTGCAGCCAGAAATAAGTGTGAAAGAAGCTACCTGTCCTGTTTTAAGAACTATACTCTGTTTCTAATATTCATATTTTCTAGATAGGACATTTTGAGAACATGTACCTGTACTTAAGGGTAATACTCTTGAACTTAGGATATGATGATTCTGCAGGATAAAACTGTTTATTTTATCAATATAGAGTCCAAGCCGAATATAATTGCATACAAGGAGCTCCTTCAGAGACTGAAAGCTTCACCACCTTGAGCTGTGAACCAGATATACCTAATCCACCAAGGATAGCCAACCGAACCAAAAATTCACTCACTTTACAGTGGAAGGTAAGAAAATCCTGTAGAGAATTTCCAAATGTACATTGATTTCCTTCATTTTTTATAATATTACAATTCAATTCTGTCTGAGACTATTGGAGCTTTATGGCAGCTAACTAGCTTCCTCTGGGCCTTGTTTTGTGACTCTAAATGCCCTTCACTGGTTCCAAGTCACAGTGGCCACGTGTACAAGAGAACAGAACACTGCCATGTCCCAGCCATTGTGTCAGACCCTCTCATTGCGCATCTTCGCTTTTTTCCTAACCTCTGTTTTACCAAGCCTCATGCGCTTATCCAAGGACTGGTCCTTCCTAATAACATGTCCAAAATACCTGAGACGATGTCTCATATCCTTGCTTCTAGGGAGTGTTCTGGCTGTATTTCATCAAACACATACTTGTTTAGTTGTTTGGCAGTTTATGGTACATTTGATATTCTTCACCAAACACCGTGATGCCAAGTCATCATTATTCTTCTGTGTTCCTTATTCATTGTCACAACTTTCACATGAGACCTTATCCACATGGCTTGAATGAGATGCGCTTCAAATGATACCTCCACTCTTTAAAAGGAGTCTTTTGCAGCAGATTTTCCTAATGTAATGTGTTGTTTGATTTCCTGACTGCTTTGCGGATTCAAGTAAAATGAAACCTTCATGACAACTTAAATTGTTTCTCCTTTTATCATGCTCTTGCTGATTGGTCCACTTGTGAGGATTTTTGCTTTCTTACGTTGAGATGTAATCCATATTGAAAATTGTAGACGTCGATCTTCATCAGTAAGTACTTCAAGCCCTCTTGGCTTTCAGGAAACAAAGCTATCTTATCATCTGCATACGACAGGTTGTTATGAGACGTCCGATAATCCCGATGCCTTTGGTCTTCACACAGGCTTTTTTCTCAAACTATCAGCATAAAGAGTGAAGAAGTCTGGTTAAAACCGTGAACGCCGATACCCTTCCTTACTTGAAACCCTCTTCGTTTTGAACTATTGCCTCGTAGTCTATGTATACATTCCCCAGGAGTGTTTATAATTTGTCGAAAGTCTTGAGTGTCCAGTGCATCAAATCTGTTCTTGAGATGTTCTCTATATTCAGGTAGAATATACTCAGGATCATATATTGGCTCATGTGGACTTGTTTTACTTTTCTTCAGCTTCAGCCTGAACTTGTATGTGAGCAATCGATGTTCTGTTCCACAATCAGCCCCTGGACTTCATCTGACTTTTGATATTGAACTTCTCCCTGTCTCTTCCCATAGATGTCGTCCATTTGATTTCCGTATTTTCTGACCTTATGTATAGTCACCAGTTACGTTGTTGATAAAAGGTATTTAAAATGAAGAAGTACTTGGTTTTTTTAAAAAGTAGTAGTAGTAGTAGTAATTGCTTTTACAAAATTCTGTCTTGTCATCTCTAGCTTCATTTCTAACACCAAGGCCTGCCTTTCCAACTACTGATCCTTCCTGTTTCCAATTTTTGTATTCTAATCACCAGCAATGTATCTATGTGTCTTGATTGAATGTTTGATCAAATTCAGAAAGAAAGACGTGGTAGAATTCTTTAAGTTTTTCATCACCAGCATTGGTGGTTGGTGTGTAAATTTGAACAGTAGTTATATTAACTAAACTTCCTTGTAATTTTATGGATAATTATCCTATCACAGACAGCACTGTGCTTCAAGAAATATTCTTTGTGGTGATGAACGTAACATTATTCCTCTTGAATTTGTCATTCCCAACATAGTAAATAATGTGATTACCCATTAATAGATGGCTGTATACAGCTTTGTCTTTTCCTTTCGACTCGTGCCACATCAGCAAAGAAGGTCTTGAAGGCTTTGCTCTATCTAGGCCATTAAGGTCGTCTCTACTTTGAGGCGATACCTCTTACCCACTTATGTTTGGTCTGCCTTCCAACGTGAAGGGCTCGTCTTCCAGCATACAGCCACTGTGATTCAAACGGGTGTTAGTTAATAACCCTTCAAAGAGGACAGCCTATTCCTAGTCTCTTCTTAGGCTAGAAGCTCTGCTGAAGACTGACCCTCCTGGTTTTGGAAATACAGGAAGCAAAGCTCTCAGCATCACAGCAACGTGCAGGCACCTCAGAACACCAGACAGACGAGTGGTGGGTGCTTGAGTAGGGTGGATGTATGGTTCTTTACCTCCTGTAAAGCAAGCTATGGGCTGTCTCACATGTCCATGAAAAGTGAGCAAGACTGACTTTGTTACTTAATAACCAAGGCCATGGACTTTGAATTCTTAGGTATGATGTTTGTTTGTTTGTTTGTTTGTTTGTTTGTTTGTTTGTTTGTTTGTTTGTTTGGGTGGGTGGTACTATATGCCAGGGAGCTTCAAAAAGGTTGTGCATAAATGTACGAATGGATTTGGGGGCTCTCACTTAATTCTAGCCCCAGTCTAAGAACAACTAGTTATGCTGTGGCTCTGCTTGATGCTCATCCTCATAAAGAGAACCCTGAAGATTATGGGTGCGATAGCAAAGTGTAGTGAAGCGTCTAGGTGATACCAGGCTATCAGAAGGAATAGCATCTGGGGTCTTAAAGATTTGTCCTCAAACAAGCAGCCATCTAAGTGAGGCATCAACTAGGTCCACATGAAAGAAGCACCCAGCCTAGGTGATCCAAGGAAATAAAATCCAAACCCAAAGAAGGGACTGGTCTCAGGACTTAACTTGAACATCCCTGATCATAGAAAGCTATTGTTGACAGGGGACTCCCAGAGTCCATTCACCGCGTCCTCCTATGGATTAAGCATCAGGTGAATCCCCTCTGAGGATAGTGAAGGGATGTGAATATTCTTTTTGTCAGACAAAAAACATTGTAATGTCGATTATGTCATTTGCTCTCCCTTCTGACCCATTCTAAAGTTGTTTCAGTTTTTCAAAACGAAGGGAATACACATGGATTTAGCCACTGGTGAGTCCCCTCTGACCGTAGACAGGGATGTGAGTAGCCTTGCTGTCTTGTAGAATGCATTAGAAAGTGCATTATTATAAATAGTTAGGCTAAAATTTAACCCAGTATCATTAATCTCCCTTTTGATCCATTTAAAATTTGTTCTAGTTTTTAATATTTTCTACTTTCTACATTATTTTCAGTTAAGGTTTTTATCTATTTGTTATTATTGTTAGTTTGGGGATATGTTTTTAAATGTATAAGAAACCCAGGGTGGAAAAATCTATTGAGACAGTAACTGGATTAATGGTAAAAGAAGCTCTGGTGGTGGCATAGGGGATATGAATCGGGCTGCTAAGCACAAATCCTGCAATTTAAAACCATCAGCTGCTCCTCCGGAGAAAACAACGGGCCTTCTTCTCTGGTAAAGATTTAGTCTCAGACCCTCACAGGAGCAGGTCTACCCCGTCCTGTAGAGTCGGCGCTAATAAGGAATGGGATGCTAATGCGTACAAGAAGGAAGATGTGCTAAAACTGATTGTGATGATGATTAAACTATTGACTTGTGTGATACGTAAATTATATGGCAATAAAAATGTTTGTGAATAAATAGAATTAAAAGATACCTTTTTCTTTCTTTTTTTTTAATCGTTTTATTAGGGGCTCATACAACTCTTATCACAATCCATACATACATCAATTGTGTAAAGCACAATTGTGCATTCATTGCCCTCATCATTCTCAAAACATCTGCTCTTCAAAAAGATACATTTTTTTTCTGAACTTTTTGAAGCCCCTTTGTGTGTGTATAGGAGGGAGATAGTTGGGTTGTGGTTTGGGTAAAAAATTTTTTTTCTGGTGCAGTGACTCGGATTCGAACCGAAAATTTTTATTTTAGAAATTATTAATCTCAATGAATGAGTTAGCAGTTTAGGTCATTGGCATGATGAGTCTAGAAGTAGCGTTCTAGGTAGTATGTCCTGTGGAGTGCTCTTAAGTGCAATGGTCCACTTGGATCCATTGGTACATAGTGTAATGTTAGCACCTAAGAAGAGTTTTCGTGAAAATGAAAGGATCCCATCAGACCTGGTCAAAATTTAAAGTGTTTTGTTTTTCCCCCAACAGGTTTATTGGCACATCATTTGCATAGCATACAATTAAATAGTTCAGTCGTTCACTCGTATCAAGGGTCACTGAACAGTCACCGCCACATCCCCCTTAGAGCAGGCCACTTCCCACCCCCACATTGGATAAATCGTCTTTAGCACGAGTTGTGCAATCACAAGCAATCCTAGTGCTCCCTCCCCCTACTGCCTTCATTGTTTACTCCGAAATTCCCTTTCCATCCTATTGCCCACCCCACCTCTGCCTTCCCTGGAACCCCCTTGTGTCTGTTCTTCTCATTATGTATCCACTCCTCCTTCACAGCTGGGAGACCCAACAGAAAAAATAAAAACAAAATAATTCTAGATGGTAAGGCTAAAATCTTAATGGTATAAAGACAAAAATAAAATAATGCGTCAGAAGGAAAAGACTCCCATCAGCATTCAAAAGGACAGGGAGGAAATTTCTGTCTAAAATTTAAGGTGGTTCCTGTGAGAAGGGATTGTTCAGTGTTTAGAATAACTTGAGTAGCCTTTTGCTTTTTGTTCTTTGCTTGCATTTAAAAGTGTTATATGGTGTACAGTACATATACGTTTGTGTCTTCTGTGCAAATTATTCGAGAACTAAGTCACATTAGAATCCTTAGGTTAGATTATTTCAATATCTATTACAAAAGCATTAATTTGGCTTTTTTTTGGTGTTTGTTTTAGGCACCGAGTGACAATGGTTCTAAAATCCAGAGCTTTATTTTAGAATGGGATGAGGTAAGTACATTGAATATTTCTATATTTTTAATTCCTCACAAAATTGTTTATATTTCCTCAGCAGAAATAATATTTTTGCTTGTTTTAATGAGTCCCTCCTCCCCCTTTGAAAGCGTTACGATCTCCATGTTGTACTCACTCCAAGAGTGAATTAGTGGTAAGCTTAGAAAATATTACTGCCTGGGCCTGGGCAGTCGCTGCTGGTGCTGAAGGTTTCGGGGTGCTGGCAGGAGCACAGTGCTGGGGACTCGTTCGTTTGGCAGTCAGTGAGGCTCTGCTCTGAAAGACGTGTTTGTCTACACCCAAGTCTCTTCACTTCTCTGCAGCTTCCAGCAACCTGGCCATGGTGGTGTGGCTGCCCCCTGTGTCAGTAGAAGGTCACTGCAGTCATGAGTCTGTGAAGTTCAGCACCCAGGCTCTCATCCACAGGGGAACTAGTAGGCTCAAAACCCATGTGGTTTCTTAGGGTCCATATATAAGCCACGCATATACAAATACACACACACACACACTGTATAAGCCGTGCATACACACATACACACACAGCAGCAGCAGCAAAGAGTTAAGCCACAGTTTTGTTAAAGCAAAGAGTCACTTCAAAAGAAACCAAGTGGATCCCTCTCCTCTCAAGAGTTAAGGAGGACAACTTAAGCTTAGATAAGATACACTTTGCTCTGAGTCCCCCCTCTTAAATTGAGAACCAACGTATTAGAAAACACTATTAGATTTTCGTTGACACTTTCAAAAGGGAAGGGATTGCCACTCTGCAGATGGTCAAGCATCTTTGTACTCAGTTCTATTCCTTGGGTCTCACACTGTTTCTTTCCAATTGATCTTGGCTGTGGCTCTGAGCTGGCATGTCCCTTGTTTCAGGATTATCTCGGAATTCAGTCCTGTGCTCAGGGCCTGCCTTCAAGATTAAGGTGTTCACCAAGCCAGTTCTCGCCGATTCCTTGGTTCATAACTTGTTTCACGGGGTCCTTTGCTCACTCCCGTATCAGGCAGGGCAGAAGCCTCTGTTCTGTCCCTGCCAGACTGCAGCCCCTGGAGTTTAGCATCTGCTAAGTCAATAGCCCATGATTCATGGAGAGGATTCTCACCCATGAAACAGAGCTAGAGAATTTGGACAAGTTTGTCAAAGAGCTCATCGAGGACGGAAGAACTTATTGCTGAAAAAACAAGTCTTTCAACAGCTCATTTTCTCAGAGACTTGAAATCTAAGTTGATTTGTGTTGCAGAAACTGATGACAAGCGCTGAATAGTCTTGGGGAGATTCCAGAAAGAGCAACTCGGAGCTATACAGTAAGAAAAAAAGTTTGACAAAGAAGCAGAGAAGAACTATGGCCTAATTGATAAACATTTGAATTCATCAGCAAAAAAGAAAGATTAACAAGAGGCAAACATCCATGTGGAGCAAACTGGCAACACTTTTAGGAGCGATATTTCGAATCTGTATGTAAACAGGAATTCCAAGAAACAAAAGTTTGAGTTTCTATCATCTTGCCAAAGACTCAGTCACTACCAAATAGAACTACAGTTCAACATGCAAACTACATGGAGTCATTTTGAAGAAACATGATCAGAAGTGGAAGAGGTTATGAACAAAACCAGACAGAATCCAAAGAACCACAAGCAAGCAAGTCAGTTTATAGCAGAAGGCTCCCTGTATGCACAGGGGGAAAGGCCTGCTCCATTTGGTCCCAGTTGGATGAAACGCATGTATCAGAAAACAGCCAAGAGGCTCCACAAGTTCCCATTTGAGCACAGATCTAGAGGTAAACATGGGGATGGTAACATTGTGTTTTTGAAAGCATATACCCAAAGGCATACTGCGTCTATTGACAGAAGGTTTTGTTTGATGTAGAAGTTCCAGATCATGCAGGCACTTTTCAGAGGAAGAAAGGAAGATATGTTCAGAAGCACTGGGTGGGGAAAAAAAACAAACAAACCTCTGTCCCATAGTTTTAATAGAGCCATCCCAAGACCAGACGTTGGATAGGGTGGGAGTCACCGTTTTTTAGAAAATGAATCAGTGGATTGCATGAGGACTCCCTGGCATGCCATCCTGCTGTTTATAAAATGAGCCTTCTGAGAAGCAGGAGGAGAGGTCTCAGTAACAGCAAGATCCAGGGGTGGAGCATATCCTCTGTACCCAAGATTCCTGTGCAGTGAACCTCCTGGATCCAGAAGACAGCTGTAACATCAAGAGGAGCAGCAGCAGAACCAGAAGCCAGACCATGTAACAGAGTGATGGGCTTCCCCACCCATGGAACAAATGAAGCTGAGTGTTTGTGTGCTGGAGGCTGCCTCTAGGCACTTCATCCAGGAACTTAGGCTTGTGACCCAGGGAAGTGGAGCTGCTTGCCTTTGGGTGGAGGCTTACTAGAGGGGGGTGCCTTTGGGCACCTATTCTAGGAACTAGGTTTTGGAAACCCTGGAATTTAAGCCTTCCTGGTGAAGCTACAGCAAGTAATATGCCCCTTTGGGCATTGACTAGCAAGTCTGAAAGAACTTTGTAACATATCTTGAAAAACCACTCAACCCTGAGCATTTCTCACTGGCATTAAACTTGTTAACTTCCTTGATAAACGCTGTAATCATGAAAAAAAGAAAAAGGAAATATTATTGACTAGACTTTTTTAACTAAATCACCATAAACTGTTAATTGATTAAAGAACATATTTTACCATATTAAGACAAGTATTATTTATTTCCTAGGGCAACTATAGTAAATTAAGAAAAACCCTAGGGAGATTTCTGTTCTAGCCACTGCAGGCTGCCCTCGGCACTTGGCTTCCTGCCAGGCTTGGTGTTTCCTTTTCTTTCCCTACTCCCTCTCTTCCTTTGCCGTCTGCACACCTTCTCTCACAGAGACTTGTGATTACGTTGAAGACATACCCAGATAATCTAGGACAATCACCCCATCTCATCTATGTCTGGAAGCTGGGCTTCTCATGGTCCCTTAACTCTTTGGATGGTTAGTTTCCTTGCGTCTTTGACTTTCATCATTGTTTACTTCAGATGGTGAGAAGCAAAGTGTCACCCCAGGCACTGCTCACCTCGGTGGGAAGTAAAGCACTGTCTGATCTGTTACACCAATTGACCTAGGTATCTCCTCGGACTGTGGTCCTAAGCCCCCGATTCAGTGACTCATTCCTTCAAGGTGTTCAGTTCAGACTAAGTCCTTTCCTTACCTTTGTGTCCTGTTTGCTCTAGTATATACATGGGTACATCAGAAGCACATGCAAATACATACGTAGAAATATCGTCTGCCAAATCTATGTGTTTGTAGACGTACTCCAGTTCACCTCCATGTACCTGTTCAACTTGCATTGTTCGTTATTCCTGTTATTGCAGTAGGGTGGGCTGTATTTGTATTCACCTCTTTGGTCTGTGACATTTCTTGTATGTTTTGGTTTGTTTATCAGAAGAGAGATCATATGACAAAGTTTCCATTGTTCGAGTCAGATTGATCATTTTTATCTATAGTTGTCTTTCCAGTACTCTTTGTCTGCTGACCAGGTTACTCCCATACCCAGTTATGGCTAGAGGGAAATCACTGGTGTCTACTTCTATGCACCACTTCAGGTCTCCTTCACCCTGCTCGTGTTGTGCTGAACTCCCCTTTTCCACACCACGTTGTTCATTGCCACCCCTCCCCCCAAGGTCATACGGTCTAGTCTGTAGTGAGTGATTTTCTGTTTCTCTGCATATTTTCTGTGATCGAACTTTTCTCTCTGCCAGTACTCTTTCAGTGTGTAAGCAATAGCAATTCCGTAATCTTTACTATAGAGATGCTTAACTGCCTAGATAAAAGTTTGGGAAGGGGAATAGGTTTTACCTCAAAACAATTTGCAGAGAACTTTTCATAAATTCAGAAAATGCATTAATTGCCCAAATCAAAGATTGCCTTATAAAGGGGTTTCAAAATGTTTGTGGCAAAATTCAGTTATCTTTTAATTTATCCATTTTCCCATGAACTGTTTAAAGCCCCCTTGTACTACCGCCGTTGTCATTCACATACCTGGAATAAGGTTCTTTTACTAACTCCAGAGATTGAGCATCTGCTAAAATAAAATACAATCCTTAATCAGTTTGGGGTGGGTTTTTTTGCATTTGATGAGTTGTATCATATAAATAATTTGAGTTGTCTTACCATCTGTAAATAAAATGACTTACACATAACGAAAATGACTCTTAATATGTATTGGCTAGGAACTGGAAATACAGGGAATCCAGGGCGATGAGCCCTACAGGACCAGTGGTGTGAGTGGCGATACTGGGAGGGTAGAGGGAGAGTGGGTAGGAAAGAGGGAACCGATTACAAGGAACTATATGTGACCTCCTCCCTGGGGGACAGACAACAGAAAAGTGGGTGAAGGGAGACGTCAGACCTAATACCGGGGGCTTAAGTGGAGAGGAAATGTTTTGAGAATGATGAGGGCAATGAATTTATAAATGCGCTTTACACAGTTGATGTGTATGTGGATTGTGATAAGAGTCATATGAGCCCCTAATAAAATGATTTTTTTTTAAAAAAAGACCAGAAATAGATCATGTTTTGCACAAGCCAGAAAATTATAATTCACAGTTCTTTGGGCAGAGTATTCAGAATGTTGTTTATTACCTTCGTAGTGGTATAAAATTAGTCCTAGACTAAATGTTGTGCTACTCCATTGCACCAGAACTTAAAAGCAACTCACACGGATTAATTTATCAAATACAGACAAAATAGATATAATCATGTACATTACTGGGAGAAATTAAAGGACTATTCATGATCAGAAGATTCAGTATTATTTTTTATATTTGTTTGCTTTTATTTATTTTTATTGTGGTTCAGGTGAAGGTTCACAGAGTATATTAGTTTTCCATTCAACAATTTTTATACATATGGCTTTGTAACCCCGGTAGCAGTTGACTCAATATTACTAAGATGCCATTTCCCCCAAAATTATTCTATAGATTAAAGAAAATTACCAAAAAAAAATGTACTGGCGAATGTGCTAGTATGTTAAGCAATACATGCTGGAATCCCTGAGTGGTCCAAATGTCATGTCCAACTGCTCGCAAACGTCATGTCCAACTGCTAGCCCACAGCTGGGGCCCCACTCTGTCAGTCCCTCTTCTCATTGGCTCTCGGGCGTCTTCATGTGGCGTAGCCGCCCTCCCTCTTCTGCACCCTTGCTCTGCTTGCTCTTCTAATCTCCCTTCTCTCAAGGACGCGAGTGACGCGAAATCCGAATTGATGTGGATGTATCGCTTTAAGGTAATAGACGCATGGATAATAATCTACTGTTTCTTTCAGGGAAAAGGAAATGGAGAGTTTTGTCACTGTTATGTGGGTTTACAGAAGCAATTCAAGATTACGAAATTGGCACCAGCAATGGGTTGTAAATTTAGATTATCGGCCAAAAATGACTATGGTACAAGGTAAGATACATTTTATAAACTAATTTAGCTATTTTGTGTTATCTAGTCAGCTTTGTGTGTTTTAAGTTTTTCATAGCCCAAATTATCCACTAAAACCACTTTGCTGTATAACTTTATTGATGTTAAGATATGTTACAAGCCTAGCAAAAGCGATAATGAATTATCTTAGTTACATAGAGATTACAGAAAATATAAACACTAGGAATTTAACAAAAATTTTCAAATAATATTAAAAATTAAATGTTGCATATGGTCAAGAGGATTTTTTCTATTCATCTTCAGCAAATGTGATTTCATTATTTTGTGTAGTACCTGGTGAATTCTAAGAACATCAGAGAAACCTGATTTAAATAAGAATGCCATTTAATCTTTAAAGGTGACATTGAACTGATTTTTGTTTTATATCTGAGGGAAAGTCAAAATATATTCCAAAATCATAGAAACTATTACCGTATATATTCAAGTATAAGCCGACCTAATTTTACCACCAAAACGGCATTGCACTGTGTTGGAAAAGCTCGGCTTATACTTCAGTATATACGGTATTAAACAAAAACACCCAAATGTGAAGCTGTTAGTTCTCGACATGTGCTCCACCTAGGTCTGCACAGTTCTGAAGGTGGAATTTCCATCTCTAAAGATCTGCCTCCATGTATTGCCCTCTCACCATGTATTCTGTATTCTGAGCCAGTCATCAGAGAAACTACTATGTGAAGAAGATCCCGGACTCAAGGATTGGAGGAAGGCATATTAGTAACCTGAGATGTACCTGGCACAACCTTGCTTTCTCAAAGTGAGGAGGACTTGAAGCATTTGCTGATGAAAATCAAGGATTGCAGCCCTCAGTATCGATTCCAACGCACAGTAAAGAAGAGAAAATCCTCACAAGTAAACCCATAAGTGACAGCATGATAAATGGAGAAAAGTTTGAAGTTGTCAAGGACTTTTGTCTTGTTCTGATCCAGTCAGTGGTCATGAAAGCAGCAGTCAAGAGATCAAACGTCACATTGCGTTAGGCAAATCTCCTGTACAAGACCTCCTTCACGGAGGCTGAGCTGTGACTCTGAGGACTGAGGTGCTCCCGACCCAAGCCATGGTCATACGCATGTGGACACTGAATAAAGGAGACTGACGAAGGATCAGGGAGTCTGAATCGTGGTGCTGGTGAAGAATATGGAAAGCCTTACGGACTGCCAAAAGAACAAGCAAACCTCTCTCGGAAGAAGTAGTCGGAATGCTGCTTAGAGGCAAGGATGGTGAGACTTCATCTCAGCTACACTGGACATGTGACCAAAAGAGGCCAATTCCTAGGAAAGGACACCCTGCTTGGTAAAATTGAGGGGCAGCACCCAAGGGGAGGATATTGTTTGTATCTCCACAGGAAAAGAGGGACCAGACGTCAACCCAGTGCTCCAAGGTGTGAACGCAACATGCCGGCGTGGAGTCGGGAACCAGTGGAGAGGTCTGGGGGGCTGGCCCCAGTCCCAAATACTAAGTGGATGCCTGCCCCTCCCCTCAGAAGAATTTATTTCAAAGGACAGCACTGAATCCGCAGCTCCAGGAGAGGGACATATCTGATCGGAGCACACAGGAGCAGATGACTGGGGAGGAGGAGAGACTCCATGGAGCACATCCTGGCCCACCAGGCCTTGAGGACGATGACCCCAAATAGAGCAGCCAGTCCACAGAGAGGACCACATGGCCAGCCCCACT